AGCGCAACTATGAGATGCACTCTCTCTCGACTTCTCCTCGTCGTTTCTCCTGGGCAGTGTGCACGAGCAGGTCTACCTACGCCAACCGCCAGGCTTCTCTGGCTCTTTCCCTCTTGGGACTGAGTGGCTCGTGCGGCGCCCGGCTTACGGCCTACGTAAGGCGCCCCGTGAGTGGCACGATACGCTGCATGCCACATTCGCAGACCTGCAGTTCTTTCCATCCTCACCTAACCCTTTCGCTCTTGGTTCGCTCAAGCCAGATTCCGTTCTACATCCTAGTCTACGTAGATGACCTGGTCTACGCTACTGCAGACAGAGACGCACTGGCCTCAGTGAAGGCTCAGCTGCTGAAGAGACACACATGCACTGACCTAGGAGAGCTGCGTCGCTACCGTGGCTTGCAGATCTCCAGGGACAAAGCAGTGCGCACCATCACGCTCACATAGTCGCACTTGGTGCACCAGGTCCGTTAGAGGTTTGGCCTTCATCTTTCCTCCGCACAGCCTACACTTCTGCCAGTAGACTAAGGCTCTCGCCTCCGATCCCTGACGACTCGGTTGAGCCCAGTGCTCCGTACGAAGAGCTTATGGGCTGCCTCATGTGCCTGATGAATTGCACTCATCCAGATCTCGCATACCCTTTTAGTATCTAGGCTCGCTTTGTGGCGTCAGGCATACACCGACCCTAGCACTGGTCGGTCGCTAAGAGGGCTTTGCGTTATCTAGCAATTACATCGGGCATGAGGCTAGTGCTGGGAGGATGCAGGCCAGTGGACCTTACAGGGCACACAAACGCCTCGTGGGCGGACGATGCTGAGATGCTTAGGTCCTCCTAGGGCTACTACTTTAGCCTTGGTGCAGGCGCCATCTCCTGGAGGTCCACCCACTCGTCGTTTGTTGCCTAGTCCAGTTGCGAGGCTGAGATCTACGCTGGTGCCATGGCGGCAAATGAGCTCCGCTAGCTGACCTGCTTGCTCACATACTTAGGTGAGCGGTCTAGCTCTTCCCCGGTCCTGTACGCTAACAATAGGGCCATGATCCTCATGTGTCAGGAGCCTCGACTAGAGGGCAGAGCGAAGCACATCCAGCTACAGTACTTCCTCCTGCGCGAGCTACAGCAGCGCCACCAGGCCCGCGTTGTACACTTGGCCTCCGGTGCCAACACAGCTGATATCTTTACGAAGGCGCTTGTGCCTAAAGTTCATCAGTGGCACTGTGTATAGCCTGGTCTAGTTCTAGTAGCTCCTCACTTGCTAGGACCCTGATTGTGTACTACTCCTTATATTGTCTTGACAGGCCTTGTGGCTTTTATTCCAGTGGTTGGACTAGTAGTGCTACCCTGGTTTACTCTTGCTTAGCTTGTACTCTTGGTGGCTACTGTTTAGACTCTTGCCTCAGAGGTTGGACTAGTAGTGCCCCCCTGAGTTGCGTGTCTCTCGCTAGGCACTGCCCCTTGTCTAGCCTATGGGGTGTGTCAACCTAAACATTTTGCATATGTAGCAGTTATAGGCTAGAAGGGTTCGTGCTCTTAGAGAGTACAACACCCAACCACTTATACCCCTGTATCCGTCATTTCTTGTCATTCCGCTACTCTTAGACCATTTACTCACTCACCCATTCACCCATTCACCCACTCACCCATTCACCATTCATCCAGTCACCCACTCACCTATTCACCCATTCACCGATTCACCCACTCACCCACTCACACATTCACGCATCCACCCACTCACCCATTCATCCACTCACCCACATTCACCCATTCACCCATTTGACCCACTGACCCACAAGCCCGCTCCCTCGTTGGCTGTCTCACCCGCCAGCCCTTTGGCCTGCTGATCCGCTTCCACCCTCGCTTGCTGGACCGCGGACCCGCTGCCCCGCTGGCCTGCTAGCCCGCTGGCCCACTGGGCGCTAGACCGCAGGCCCGCTGGCATGCTAGGCCGGTGTCCTGCTTGCCCCTCCTCGATTTGAAGGTGCGGGTATCTTGGTGAGTTTTCCTCAGAAGGGAGGGTGAGAGCGTGGAAGAGAGAGGGGGCTGAAACCCCTGCTTTTAGCGACAGGGAGAGTTGAGTGGGGCCCAGAAGGCCCCCAGGTTTGTGATTGAGTTTGTGTCGTGCTCGTGGTGTTTTGACTCCAAGCCATGACCCTCAGTAGGGGGGAAGCTGCTGGATGGATTGGAGTGGAGTGGAGGAGAGGGTGTTAAATTATATATTGTGTTATATAATTGTTAGGCTGGGTAGGTTACCGAGCTTTACTGTAGATGTCACAATCCCCTCCTTGTATCCTTTTCTCTTTCTAGTCCAACTCTCTTTTCTCTTGTCAACTCTCGCCCCCTAGCTAAACCTCTCGCCATTTTCCATGGCGTCCTAGTGTTGCTAGCTTAACATGTTTTCTCCTGGGCCTGCTCCCCACGCTTCCGCCGCGTACCCGTTCTTCGTTCGCCGTCGTCGCGGCCTTCCGTTTTCGTGCCGCCGTGGCAGCTTCTCTGACATGCCGCAATGACTTCTTGGTGCGGCCGTCACAGCACGCAGCCGTGACGGCGCCGTCGGCGTAGTGCCGCGGTTGTCTCGACGCGCTGCCGTGGTGTCACGCCATTGCGGCGTCGACGTCCAGCCGTGGCGGCGCCGTCGACGTCCAGCCGTGACGGCGTGATGGCGCCGTCGTGCTGCCGTTGCAGCGTCGACGTCCCGCTGCCGCATCGACGCCGCTCTGTGACGGCGCCGTCGGGCAGCAGCCGACCGCGCGACGCCTGTGACACTGCCGCCGCCCGCACGCCAGCTGCCCTCCTTTCCCTGCGTCCCCTCCTCCTCGCCACAGCTGACGCCTGGCGCGTTGGGGACCCCATCGCCGTCGAGTTTGGCCGTGCCTCCGAGAGGGCGGGGGCCGCTGCAGTCGCCTCTGATGTTGAAGCCGCCGCCGTCGCCGCCGTTGCCGCTGGCCGTTGCCGCCGCACGCCGCCGCCGCTCTCGTTACTGTCGTGGTTGCCGCCATCGCCAGCTCACGGGCCGTGGGGGTTGGCCCCACCAGAGTAGACGTGGCTGATGCTTGGAATGGGGTTGCTAGGTTAGGGGGTGTGGGTGTGTGTGGGCATGTGACTACCAAGCCTAGGGGGTGTGTTAAATTATATATTGTGTTATATAATTGTTAGGCTTGGTAGGTTACCGAACTTTACTGTAGAGGGTACAATCCCCTCGTATCCCTCTCTCTTTCGGGTCGAACTCTGTTTTCTCTTGTCAACCCTCGCCCCCTAGCTAAACCTCTCGCCATTTTCCATGGCGTCCTAGTGTTGCTAGCTTAAAGCCCGACCAGCAGGTTGCAAATTGGTACTGTTGTAGTAGGTGGGGCGGCAAATTATGATTGGTTGACGAGGAAAAAGATAAACGAAATCATTTTGCGAAACTTTATCTTCGTCCAGCTCCTGCTTGCGCGAGAGTCCCCGATGGCTATGCAACCTGGCAGAGGTGTCAGGTTTGAGCCCCGTCAGGTGGCAGGGGACTCACGCTTGACTCTTTGCCATGTTGAGAAGGGGTTTGCGTGCCTGCGTTTTTGTGCAAACACCCAACCTTTTTTTTTTTTGTTCGGGCAAGTTGGAAGAAAACGAAACTCCAACTATTGGGCGTCAGTTTTGCCCTTGTGCAATCAAACACACATTGGTACACTCGCACTAAACCGCCCGAAAGTCCAAATTTGTACAAATAATTACCCTTCGCGCACAGTCTTTGGTTCCTCGCCTCGATACTGCCAAGTTTGTCGAGGAACTAAGTTGAGGTGCTTGAGTCTCGTCAACCGCTGCTGCGGGTGGAGTCAGTTATAGGTTCTCAAGATGCAGCATCTTGAGAAAAAGAGAGTTGCAACGTGCCGGTCGGGCTTTAACAGAGGGATGGGTGCAAGTGGAGCACGATGTGACATCCACTGTTGTTGCAAGGAAGGAAGTGGATGGCTCTGCTCTCCCCTCCTCGCGGTGAGCTATTGCAGTGATGCTGTTTACATGCTCTCATCTCATCGCATAGGTCTCGCCCTTCTCCGCAACATTCTCCATTGGAGTGGGTACCGGTACTACCGTAAACGCCCGGATATAAAACCGGTTTTATTTGAGGACCCATAGGGTGTTTTTGGCGGGTAGGTCTTTTATTATGGTAATCGACTAACAAGACCCTCCCCTTTTCAGTGTAGCTGGCTTTAGACCCTCTTCGTTTTTTTTGTTTTTTTTTTCCGTGATTTCCGTAGCAAATGTAAAGTATGGGGGGGAGCGAGCAAGAAGGAAATTGAAAGGGGGCTGTGGGGAAACAGTACCGCGAAAGAGGAACCAGAAACATTGTGAAAGGTGAGGAGCGTGGGCTTGAACGCTCACAGAAGCGTGGGGTGGGGTGGCAATTCGCCAAGTGGCAAGTTTCTGTCCAATCGAGACGAAGGCAACAATTTTCTTGCTGTGTTGAATCTGGAGACAGAATCCAAACCGTCGATCGACAGTGTGACAAATCGGATCGCCTCCAATATGTTTCCCAAGGGGTTTCCCGTCAAATCAAATGCTCAGTTGAACGAATCAGATTCCAACATGTCACGACTGCTTGATTTTTGCACACAAAAGAGCAAGAATGGGCCTGAGTACTCGACAATGAGTCAGGAATGTAAACGAGTAACAAACCTAAATGAACAAATTGAATTATATATGTGTACAAGATATCACACGGGTAATTTATTTTCAGGTTTCCTTATAAGACTCACCCCCTTTTTTAGCTATTAGTAAACAAAATAAGACCCTAGGGTCATATATCCGGGCGTTAACGGTACCATGTTTGTCCTTGCTCTGGTTGCTCTCTGATGACTGGTGCATTGAGCACATTTAGACTCGCCATAGCTCTTTGCGTGTTTGTGTTTGAGAAATCTGAAAGTGGGAGTGTTTGTAGTGCGTGGGTGTGCACCAGTCCCTTCATTCAAGGCATGCGTAGGGCAAACTCACTGAAAAATGTTCACCACTCAGGTAACAGCCAGGAGGACACCCTGATTTCGCAGGGCTATGAAGAAGACAACACCCTGGGCTCTCTCAAGCCAACGCATCTAGCACAACTTACTCAAGAAACCAAGAATTGTTATGTGCAGCAATTTGAACATGGCACAAGGCTATGGACTGCAGATAACGCAAGGGAGACGCACATCACTTGCTCGCTAGCTACCATCGTTTGACGAATTGTGTGATCAAACGCTGTCCACCACTTCTACCACCAGCAGCAGCACTTGTGGCAGCTTTTCTTCCTCCTCTTCCCCCCCTCTTTGCTACATCATCCCTACCCTGTGCTACTGCTACACTGCTTGAAGACCTCTTTCTCCCATTTCCAGCTGCTGCTGGTGGTCCCGTTGCTGCAGCTGCTGCTGTCAGTACCGCTACTGGTGTAGTTTCAGCAGCTGCTGCCACTGTAGCTGATGTGATGATTTGGGAATGAGTCGCAGCACGTGCACTTGAACCATCGTCACCTGCCTTGCCCCCAGCACCTTGCCCCTCCTCTCCACTCTCTCCTTCATGGTCTTCCCGACCCTTCTCTTGTCCTGCCTGCTGCTTTGTACTGCTCTGATCCACGACCGCCCCATGCTGCATACCACCACCATCCCCCTTACCACTATCGCTACAACCATCACCATCACCATCACCACCTCTCCCTTCTCCCACGTCTCCAGACCCTCCCTCGTCTGCTCCCCCCGTGCTCTCACCGCCCCCTGCCCTTTCCTTCTCAGAACCATCCTCCATCCCCCTCTCACCTCCCCCCTGTACCCCACTCTCTCCAATTCCCCCCACCGCCACCCGTGCAGCCGCCACTGAAGCCTCAACTGCCCGCCTTGCCATTCCAACTGATGCGGCACCTTCTCCCTCTGAGCCCTCACTGCCCCTCTCCCCCAACCTGCCTGCACCCTGCTCCCCAAACACCCTCTCCTCCAGCCTTTCACCACCAGCCCTTGCACACGCCTCATCCCTGCCCTTCCCCATATCATCCCCCCTCCTGCTGATGCGCCCTGCATCCTTCACTACCTTTCCCCCCTCCTTTCTGTCCCTCCTCTCCCCGTCCTCCCTTTCCCCCCTCCCTTTATTCCCCTCCTCCTCCTCCCCCTTCCCCTCTCGTCCCTCCCTTTCACCCCGCCCCTTCACCCTCCTCGCGCCAAACATCGCTGTCAGCTTTCTCTGCGACGAGTCTTCCTGGAACTTGCTCATGTTGCGGGCAGAGAGCGACGGGCGGGGGTGGGGGGGCAGCGGGGAGGAGTCCACAAGCACAAGGTCGATTGCAGCGTGGTCGCTCCACTGCTTGGGGGAAACCTTTATGATGTCACACGAGAGGACGTGCGGGAGGAAGGCAGCATCACACACCGCATAGTCTATGCTGGAGGGAAGGAAGGGAGGGACGGGAGGATTGAAAGAGGGGGGAGGGTGAAGGCCAGGGGTGGTTGAGGGGATGGGGGGGGAAAATCCGAATGTGACAGGATGAAGGGATGCGTGAAATTGCAGCGTGGTCGCTCCACTGCCCGGGGGACACTTTGACGATGTCGCAGGAGAGAACGTGTGGGAGAGAGGCGGCGTCACATAGTCCGCATAGTCTATGCTGGATGGGACGGAAAGGAGCAGGAGGCATCAACGGGGGGGGGGGGTGGGGAGGGGGTTGTGGTTGAGGGGTTGCGCGACGGGGAGTGGGAGGAGTGGATGGTTGTACCAGCAGCACTGTTCCCTCAAGCCCGAACTTCCCTCGCACACAACCTCCATCCCCCTCCTTACCCCCTCTCCCCTCCCCTTACCCCCTCTCTCCCTTCGATCCCTCCCCAATGCCCAACCCCCGTTCCCCCTCTCACCGCTGCCCCTCGTTTCTGCTGCGTGCGTCGGTGCGCTGGTCCCACACGGTGAAGGCGCCGGCAGTGGTGGGGTGTAAGTAGCGGAAGAGGTCCCGGTAGGGCGAGCCAGGCAGCGCGAAGAGAGAGTCCAGCCACTGCAGCTCCGCTGGGGGGGAGGAAAGGGATGGCGAGGGACGGGGAGGGCAGGGAAGGGTAGGGGAGGGTAGGGGAGGGCAGGGGAGGGTGGGGCAGATGGAGCATGATGAGAGGAGGGGAATGGGAGGGGCAGAGATATGCCATCAAACGCAGCGCTGCAGTGGTGTGTGTGCCTCAAAACAGGCCTACAGGACGATGGCGTGTGTAGGATGTGTGGCGGCGAGGAGATGAGAGGACCACGCACAGAAGAGGGGAGGAGGGGGCAGGGACGCACGCACCAGCGCAGTAGATGTGGTTGACGCGCCACTGGTGGAAAACGTCTATGTCGCGATGGGAGATGTTCAGGTCGCCTACAACCACCACATGCTGTCCACTCGCCCGTATGGCATCGCCTGGTGAGGGGGGGATGGCAGGGAGAACGCGGGAAATGAGGAATGGGTTGCGGAGAGAGAGGCGTTGAGCTGAACAAGGGTGGGTGTCGCGTGCAAACCTCCAAGCCCTCAAGCCCCTCGCTCCCTCGCAGCCTCTCAAAGCACCCCCCCACCCCCCCCTGCACATCCCAACCCATCCCTTACATCCCAACCCATCCCTTACATCCCAACCCATCCCTTACATCCCAACCCATCCCTTACATCCCAACCCATCCCTTACATCCCATCCCATCCCCATCCCAACCCTCTCCCGACCCCCCGCCTCCACCCCCCCCGAGCCCACCTCACATTCTCTGCGCAGCGCTCGCAGGAACGCCATCTTGCGCCGCAGCCGGGGCCGCCCGTGCTTCCTCTCGCCGGCGTTCGGCACGTACACGTTCAGCAGCACAAACCGCCCGTGCTCCGTCCTCACACACCGCCCCTCCCTCCACACCGACCCCTCCCCCTCCTCCTCTACTTCCCCTTCCCCCTCCCCCTCCCCTTCCGCCTCCATCACTTCCTCCCCTTCCCCTCTCCTCTCCCTTGCCCCTCCATCCCCCTCCTCCCCTCCCTCCCCACCAGTAAACCCTTCACCCATCATCGCTGTAATGCCCCCCCCGTACCCCTGCTCTGTCTCTGTGCCCATGGCCCCCTCCCATGCACGGCCGTTGGGCCCGATGGCATCAGCGACGGCGTCGAGAGGGGTGAGGGAGTCGCGCACAAAGGTCACACACCCTGCCGTGGGGTGTACGGGAAGATGCATGCATGGGTGGCGCATGGGTGACGCATGGGTGTCGCATTGGTGGCGCTTAGGTGGCGCATGGGTGGCACGCACAGGTGGTGCGTTGGTGGCGCTTGTGGAAACATGAAGCATTATGATACGGGAAGAAGAGCAGCACGAGAGCAGGCCCAGCCAAGAGACCGCACTGCACCGCAAGACCAGGAGCGCACGGCATGCGTTCGTATGTATGTATGTAACCCTTCTCGTCTCACCGCTGCATCCCCCCTGGCCTCACCGCTGTACCCCTTCTCGTCTCACCGCTGTACCCCTTCTTGTCGCGGCTGAACGCCCAGTACGAGTCATAGCCGTCCACCAGCGCCCATGCGCGCTCCAACCGCTCCTCCGCCACCTTCGCCTCCTGGCAGCCGGGGGCATGATGGACATGGGGATTAGAAGAGCACGCTTACTCCAGGCTTTGGAAGGGGAAAGGGGGGGAGAGGGGGGAAATGGGGGAAGGAGCGGTGGGGGAGCGAGCAACTGGTATGTCAGCATGAGAGCACGAGGTACGCGTGAGAGCGAGTGGCGCACCTGCAGGCAGAGCACGTCGGCGCGGAGGATGTTTGAGAAGAAGTTTCCGACGGAGCCGTACTTGCTAGTGGCCTCCTTGAACGTGGTGGGCAGCCCGTTGATGTTCCACGACACCACGCGCATTCTCGAGCTGACTTTTAACTCGCCTCAGAAGTCACGACACCACGCGCATTCTCGTCTGCGCGCGAACCCGCCGGATTCTGCGGCGGAGGTTGCACTTTGACTTACGTGCGAGCGCGATTTAGGTCGGTTCTGAACAGGTGGTCAGTGAGCATCTATTCAACCTGCGTGCTGTTGGGGTCATTAGTCGTGAGTCATGACAGCCCGCCACTAGGATTTACTATCAGGCAATGTGTTGGCGCGGGTGCCGTGGCAGGAAGTTGGGACAGGCAGGCATGGAGGCTGTTTGGCAGGGCGAGTTCAACTGACTCCGACATTGAGCACCGCGCTTCAAGATACAATTTCACATGGTTTCAGTGGGTGATGCTCGTGCCTCTGTAACCACTGAAACCAGAGTACCACAATAACGTGGGCACATTTGCTCCACTATCGAAGTGAAAGCGAATAAAGTCTCTTCGTCATCCCCAAGGGCTCGCTCGGAACACCAGGAATTTCCGCTACTGGCATTTCAAGCGCCAACCAATCACGCTAGTCTGGGCCCAGTGAGAACTTCAGCTGAACGGGAATTACCAGAAACACTCAAATAAGGGTTTTTAGTTGTAAGGTTACTGTTACTAGGACTCTGCGCACTGTAGTCACGGTTAGCGCTACCGGCGTAGGGGTTTGTCCCGTTCTGACCTCCGAGGGGAGGTTTTGCGTTCTTTAAAGTTATTTCGTATCTCATTGGACCATCTGGCACAATTTTTTTGTTCGTCAACTGTAGATATCGCAGTGCAAATTCGCCCATACTCGTCCTTGTTTTTTCTACCCAACTCGGATGGCCAGGTGGGAGGTCCGGATCTCCATTGATTTCAGAATTGATCGGGCCCTGGTCGGCAGCTTACAGCACGCGTATTGATCGGGCCCTGGTCTCCGGGTCCTTGCTGGGTCACCTGCGGGAAGCGCGGCACGTGGTGGTCTCGTACGGCGTGTCGGATCACTGGTTTGCGATCCTCTGCATCCTGCGGGACAGGAAGATGGAAGGCAAGGGAAAGGGGATTTGGCTTCTCCCAGGGAAGCACGCGAGCAAGCAGGGGGTAAGGGCGATAGTCAAAAAAGTGTTGGAGCATATCAGAAAGAGAATTGAATAATAAGAGAGAGAGAGTACACAAACATATACCTAAATGTTGTACTCTCTAGAAGGTGACCCTATACAGTCTATACAAACATGATAACTACACATGTTTGACACACCCCCTGGACTGCATAGGGGAATTGTCACAGGATCGAATGTCTCGAGGAAAGGTTGCACTATCGATCAGTACAAGGCGCTTTTATACTTCCAGAGTACATCAGGTAACCAGGTTTATCTTATCCTAAGGGAATAGACCCTTCTAGAAGATAGAATCACCCTGCGTATAGCCACGCGAGGCTATTGGCTTTAAGGGATTACAGCAGGATTACGCTAGATAGAGCGCACCAATACATCCCAAGCCTGGTCGGTGATATAATGATAATAGCAGGATAAACCAAAGGTTAATGGAAAAGGAAGAATAGGAAACCAAATGAGATGCGGTAAAGAGAGAAATGAAAAGGGAAGGAAAAAAGAAAAGGCCAAGTGGTGTAACGGGGTCGTACTCTCACACTTCCCCCCCTCAAAGCTGGGTGGTAGAAGTAACACCCTGCTTGACAAGGTAGTCATGCAGAGGACGACGGGCGTTACCCATGTCGGACTCAGATATCCAGCTGTCCTCAGAAGGATCATAACCCTTCCAACGGATGAGAAGCTCCACGGTGCCATTCCGACGACGGCGGTGTGCGAGCACGGACTCGACTTCATACTCGGGTTCATTCTGGACGAGGACGCGCGGTGGCGGCGGCGGTTGGCGTCCGACGAAAATTGTGTTCGGGTCCCGATAGGGCTTCAGAAGTTGGACGTGGAAGGCGTTGTGAATCTTCCAGGTAGCTGGCAGGCGTAAGCGGAAGGTAACAGGGGTGACTTGTGCTTCAACGAGAAAAGGCCCGCAGAAGCGAGGTCGAAGTTTAGATGGGAGATGGCTGATGTCCAGGTTGCGGGTGTCAAGAAGCACCTGGTCTCCTACCGTGATGGTGTGATCGTTGCGATGGCGATCGGCTTGGCGCTTTTGTTGCTGTTGAATGTCGAGTAGGCGCTTGTGGGTCCGATCCCAAAGCTGGTGCATGGTTGTAATGAAATCATGTGCGGGTTGGACTGTAGCTGATGCTGTCGGTTTTTGTGGTGTGAGTGGGTGGCGTCCGTAGCAGAGGAAGAACGGCGTCTGTCCAGTAGCGGCATGTGTGGCGTTGTTGTAAGCAAACTCGAGTACGGGCAGGTGCAAGTCCCATTTGGAGATGTCGTCCTTGCAGGCTGCTCGGAGGAGTTGCTCAACAATTTGGTTGAGGCGCTCGGTCTGTCCGTCTGTCTGCGGATGGTATGCGGATGACATGGCGAGTTTGGTGCCGAGCAGAGACATAAGTTCCTTCCAGAACTTGCTAGTGAACTTGGGGTCTCGGTCGGAGATGAGTGTAGTTGGGATGCCATGCTGTGAGATGATGTGACGAACGAAGAGCTGTGCTGTCTCCTCGGTGCGTGCCGTCGTGTGTGTCGGGATGAAGTGTCCCATTTTGGAGAACTTGTCAATGACGACAAGGATGGCGTCATGACCGCTGGAGGTAGGTGGTAACCCGGTGATGAAGTCCAGGCTAACCACTTGCCATGGTTGTTCTGGGACAGGAAGAGGCTGCAGTAGTCCCGCCTTTTTCTGCTTGCTGCTCTTCATCCGCTGACATGTATCACACGAGGTGACGAATTTCTGGACGTCATCTGCCATATGGGGCCAGTAGTAGTGTTTGGCGATACCGGTGAGCGTCTTGTTGCTACCGAAGTGTCCGGCGTACAGGACGTCGTGGTATTCTTCGAGTAGTAACTGGCGCAAAGGAGGGTAGTTGGGTACCCAAATTTTTGTTGATCCTTTCCGGTACGCGATGTCACTGTCCCACTGTAGCAGATGTTGCTTTTCTGCCAAGGAAATTTCGGGGTCGATGGCGTACCCGTGGGTGAAGAGTCCCTTGAGTAGTGGATTCATCCCTTCGACCTGAATCGCGGCAACGTGTGCAGGCCGGCTGAGAGCGTCTGCTTTGTTCTTGTGGCCGGGCTTGTACACGATGTCGTAGTGGAAGTGTGTCTCGAGGAAGTCGATCCACCGGACCTGCCGCCTGGAAAGGTTGGGTTGTGTCTTCAAATATTTCAGGCTGCAGTGGTCGGTGTAGACGGTCGTTCTTCATCCTTCGAGATAGCATCTCCACGCTTTGAAGGCGATGATGATAGCAAGAGCCTCTTTGTCGTGTATCGGGTAGTTGAGTTCTGCCCCGTGCAGTTTCTTGCTGAGGTAGGCAATTGGTTGCAGTCCATTCCCCTGGTCTTGCATTAAGACTGCACCCACGGCCTGATCACTGGCGTCTGCTTCAATGACGTAGTCACGTTCAGGATCTGGCAAGATGAGTACCGGTGCGGATGTCAGTGCTTGTTTCAGTTGCTCCACGGCTTCCTGGTGCTTCGTCTCCCATTTGTAGGGCGTGTTCTTCTTCAGCAGATTCGTGAGTGGTGCCGCGAGTTTCGCATACTGTGGCACGAACCTGTTGTAGTAATTAGCGAAGCCTAGGAACTGCTGCAACTCCTTCACGTTCTCGGGTGTCTTCCACGTACGTACGGCTTCGACTTTCTTGGGGTCGACGTGAACTCCTTGAGCGCTCACCATGTGTCCTAGGAATTGGACCTTTTCAAGGGCGAATTCGCTCTTGGACAGTTTGACGTAGAATCGTTCCCGTCGAAGAATTTCGAAGACGCGTCGCAAGTGTTCGACGTGCTGCTTCATGTCGCGCGAGTAGATGAGTATGTCATCCAGGTACACCACCACGCATTCGTCCAGAAGTGGTCGTAGAATGTGGTTCATTTCGGCTTGGAATGTTGCCGGCGCGTTGGTGAGTCCGAATGGCATGACCAAATACTCGTACGATCCGTACCGAGTTCGGAAAGCAGTTTTGTGGATAGAGTTGTCCGCCATCCGTATCTGCCAGTATCCGGACCGCAGATCCAGTTTGGAAAATACCGTAGCTCCCCGAAGCTGGTCAAGCAGGTCATCGATTCGCGGTATCGGATATTTATTCTTGATGGTCTGCTTGTTAAGAGCTCGGTAGTCGATGCACATGCGCAGGCTTCCGTCCGGTTTCGGTGTGAAGAGTACTGGGGCACCGTACGGCGAAGTGGATGGTCGGATGAGTCCTTCAGCTAGGAGATACTCGATCTGCTTCTTCATGTTAGTCAGCTCCGTAGGGCTGAGCCGATATGGTGCTCGGAAGGTCGGTTTCGAACCCGGTTCCTCCACAATCTCGTGTTGATGTGTTCGGTATGGCGGTAGCTCGTTCGGAAGATCGTCAGGAAGAATGTCTTGGAACTCCTTCAGTAATTCCTTGATTTTTTCTGGAGTTTCCGAGGCTTTCTCTCCGTCATTCTCCACCTCTGTTGCTATCGCCAGGAACCCGGTGTCGGTCTGCTTCACGTCCTTCTCGAATCGTGCGAGTGTCTCCACTGGGATATCTCCAGTATCGTCCCAGTTGGGTAGCTGTACTCTCCGTCCATTGTTGTAGATGCTTGCGGTGCGGTTCACCCAGTTGATCTCGGGGTTGAATTTTTTCAGGAAGTCTCGCCCGAAGATCAAGTCAAGCCCTTTGATGTTGGTGATGGGGAGTGCAGGTCTCCAGCGCAGTGGTCCAATTTGTAGATGTAGCACTGCTTCGCCGTGTACTGGTAACTTGCTGCCGTCCACCATCGTTGCAGAGAATCCTGAAGGCTTGTACTCCTCCCAAAGTCGGTCGATCATTGCCTTGTCGCAGACGGTGTGTGACGCTCCGCTGTCCACGAGTGCTTGGAGGCGTCGTCCTTTGCAGATGACCTCGAGCACGAGGGGCAGTCGTTGCTCGGAGTACCCAAAGATAGTTTCATTGATTGGGTCATAGGGTACATCCCAATATTCCGTACACACCTTTGTGTTGCTGTCTACTCCTGAGCTGGCAGCTGGCCGAGGCTGCTTGGAGAACGGCTCTTCTCCAGGGCCCGGAGTTTCTTTGACAACTGTGCGCGTCACTGATGCCGAAGAACTGGATGCATCCGTAGAAGGAGTTTGGGGTTTGTGCAGCTTCTTGTAGACCCCCAGCTTCCTCTTGAGCTGCTTCAGCTCCACCGACG